GGGTTTCCAACAGTTGGAAGTGGAGGGGGATTCAAAATTAGTAGTAGGATGGCTGCAATCAAACAGTTTGGGAACGTGGTCCCTTAGACAACAGGTAAGGGATTTATTGAGCCTCACAAGGGAGCTGGATGCAAAAGTGTATTGGTCTAGGAGGTCAGCAAATGCTTTAGCTGACTACCTAGCAAAACAGGGGGTGAATCGGGAGTTTTTGTTTTGTGCAGTTTTGTAAGATTTTTGTTGTTCAGGGGTCACCTTTTACTTTGGAAGGTGACAGTTGTTTCTTATGGTTTTATCTAATGAAAGTTACTGTTTCCTGTCGAAAAAAAAAGCGCCCACTTGATCTTCACTAACCAACCTGAGCCTGGTTCCAACCTAAGCCCTACTTGAGTGTCACATTTTAGTTCGGGCTGGGCTCGGGTTGGCTTCCTTGGGCTCAGGCCTTAGGCCCAAGTCTTAGGGTTGGACTTTGGTTGAGCCTTAACTTGGCTCAGCCTGCTAAACTTGCACCTCAATGTTCTCCAGGTCTTGGGTGCTACCTGAAAACTTGGCAAGGTTGATATCCTCTTGGCAGATATCAAATTTCAGTCATTGAGGAAATATTCTATGACCTATAAAAAAATAGAGGGAATATTATATGTATGTACTTCCATTTGCTGCTTGCCCTTCTGGAAGGAAAGAAACAAACAAGTATTTCATTGATATAAATGCTCAGCAGCTGTGATCATTAGTAAGATTGAAAACCTATTCTGATGCTGGGTAATTATCCTTAAAGAATTTGATGGCATAAAATGACCATTTTTGAAGCAATGGAACTGTTTTATCTTCTACCCTTTAATGTTTAGGAAGTCATAGTTATCAAAAAAAAGTTAGAAAAATTGAACCTTTTGTTGGGTAAAGGGATTGGCAAATTGTTTGGCTGAAGGGCTTGCCAAACAAGGGGCAATGAGGGAACATTTATTTTGAGCTGAAATGTAATCTGGAAATTCTTTGATGGGATAGGTGATTGTTCACCAGCCTATACCAAGGGTGCTTGGCATATTGTACATATGCTATTCTTTTAATTAAAACAATAACATTTAGAGTTGTCCAAAAAAAGGAAAAAGACTTGAAAAATCTTAATTCACTACATTCACTACTAGAGAGAACGGTCCTTGACATGTTAGCTTTCCAATAAGAGAAGCAAAACTTCTTGTGGGCAATCTGAATTTCTCGTTGAGATGGACCCTAGAACAGCAAATCATAGAGCAGATGCACTAGCAATACATGGAATTAATAGGGATGAAATAT